CTTCAGTTTTGCCTCTTGGCCTGCAAAGGCTAAAATATTTGCTATCTAACCCCTTACAGAAAAAGTTTGCTGACCCTGTCCCAGCAAAGTTCTAAGACTCTTAAATTGCAGGACAATTGCCTATCTGTATTATTAGGAGAAATTTCCTCACCAGGAGTTTCCTACACCGGTAAAACCCCAGATAGGGGTGAAAAAGAATCAGTGTCTTACTTCTTTTAAAATTTTCCTTAGGTACTTAATATATGCTCTCAATTTATGCTTACTAACTAATTAGCCTTTATTTTTATAAGAGTATTATCAATACAAACCACATCCTTTACCCCATCTTGGGAGAGCAAAGCCAGAACAACTTCTGGCAAAAGGCCCCAACCAAGAGAGATGTGTTGCATTTAATTTCTAGAATATATATGTTTTGGGACAGCTAGATGGCACAGTAGATAGAATGCTTAGTGTGGAGTCAGAAAGACTCATCTTCTTGAGTTCAATCTTGCCTCAGAAACTTACTAGCTGTGTGACCCTGGACAAGTCAGTTAATCCTGTTTGCCTCAGTTTCCTCCTTTATCAAATGAGCTGGAGAAGGAAATAGCAAACCACTCCAGTATCTTTGCCAAGAAAACCCCAAATAGGGTCATGAAGAGTTGGACAGGACTGAAAAAAGACTGGAAAAAATACATAATTTATTAGCAGTCTCTTTCTGTCCTCCTTCCCACCCTTACCCCTTGCCCCCAGACTGGGAGAAATGAGGAAAAAAGGATAAGAATCACAAAAAGGACAGGACTTACACAAATGGAGATAAATCACTTTAGCTTCAAGACACAAGGTAGGTAGGTAGCATCTTCCTACCATCCATTTCAACAACTATTCTGCTGTTCTAAACTCTCCATGAAGAAGGAGCTTAGTTAGGAGACCTGAGCTAGAGTCCTATCCCTGCCACTTATAACTGTGTGTGACCTTGAGTAAGACACTCACACTCCCTGGGCTTCAGTTAAAAATATTAGTAACCTTGGAGATGGTACTTTTAATACATTGGTGGAGTTGGAAGACAGATTGAAACGCCAAGGTTTCCAAACTTAATATAATGACACCTTCCTCTTCTACCCCATGTTGTTTTGTCTCATACTTTATTCAAATAAAATTCAGAATTTATTAACACTTTTGTAACACATAAACAATTTTAATACAACGATAAAAGTTGCATACATATAATGCCTGGGGGCACCCACCTACTTGCAGGTTGGGTATCCCAGTGGACAGCTTAGCTGAGGTTCATGGTTCTATGTGAATTTGAAGATCTTACATTGATTTATTTAGAATATTCCATTAAAAAAATCCACTGAACATTTTAGTTTCAGGGAGGAAATTTTCATTATAAAATGAATTTGCTTCATCTTTATTATTATCATGGAGAAAAATGGCAATTCTTCTAGTTCAAACACTCCTCCAAGTCCTTTGGCATGAGAAAACCTGTGTGTTTCACAATAATATAATTGGGGTATCCCTCTGGGACACCCTGCCATCCACATTTAAACAAGTAGGTTGAGTCCTCAAGGACTCTGTAGGTCCACACTCCTAATACTATAGTTCACAAGTTCCCACCATACATTTACCTTAACCTGTAGTCTCAGCTAAAATCCCACCTTCTGCAAGAAAACTTCCTCCCTCTTAATGCTAGTGCCTTTCCTCTAAGATTGACCCCCATTTATACTGTATGTTTTATACATACATAGCAGTTTGCATGTTGTCTTCCCCAATAGATTGTAAACTCCTCGAGTATGGACTGTTTTTACCTTGATATCTCCACTGCTTAGCACAGTGCCTAGCACATAGAGGTGCTTAACACAGAAGGACCAGATGCATCAATTAACATGAAAATTTTGTTATAATTTTGCTTTGAATTTTTATGCTATCCCCATTTTTTTTTGCCTTATGGATAAAAAAAATGTGCTGCATCAATTAACTCAGCTTGGTCCTTCAAGGGGGAAACCACTGATGGTTGATGTCCTCCAATTCCTTCCACTAACCTGGTTTTCCCAGGCTCTGGTAGAGTCTGATTCACTAATCAACAACCACTCCCTCCAGCTTTGGGCTAAGCTAATATTTTGGTCTAGGGTACTATGATGTATTTCTAGAAGAAAATAGGGCACAAACCATAAGACTAGCAAGATTGTCATTTTTGGGGATTGCCGTCTCTTGAGTAAAATCCTCTCTCTTGGCAGCTAACTCTTGATTTATCTCCCTGACACACTTAGCTAGACTTTGCTGGACTCCCTTCTGCCCTGGAACTGGCATATGTTTCTGTTTCAAGTTGCCATTACTGTGGGGAGGGGATATACCATTCCTCCCCAACTACAGCCATTTTATAATAGGAGCAAAGGGAAAGGTAGAGCCCCCTCTGAAGCTGAGCTCTTCCTCCATAGTTGTGTTCTTCTTGACTGACATACCTGGCTAGCTTACTCTATAAATAGTCTCAAAGGTCAAGGACAATCTTTTCAGTCCATTCCTAGATTTTGCAGTAAGTATCAATTGCCTTCATTCAATGACTCATGCTCTATCTAGGTCTAATTGAGCAACTTCCTATATCCTAAAGGAGTAACCCTTATACCTAGGGCTACTCCTAGAGATGTCCTATGCTCTGATCCCCTGTAGTCATGCAATTTTGCAAAGGGGTTTCCTTTTAATGGGGTTTAAAATTAATTACTCTTTCAACAAATTGAATAATTATTTTGGTCATTGTTTCTTAGTCCCACCTCAAAAGGGATCTCCCCCAAAATTTAGCTGAGAGATGAGGGTGTGCAGAAGCAAGAAGCATTAGGGGATTCCATCTAGGACTTCAAGTTTTGACTCAACCCCACATTACTCTCTCATCCCCCCCTCCATTTCCTTATTTATTTTTTATGGAATGGATATACCATAGAGGCAGTGGAGCTTTGTGGCTAGAAGATCAGCCTCCACACCAAGGAAGATCTGGGTTCAAGTCCTAGCTCTGACATATATTAGCTATGACACACTTCATCTCTTAGTGTTCTAGGTGACACTTCTTCCCCTGTTTCTCTGTATCCCCAGGGTATAGCAGGTATTTAATAAATACTTGTTGACTTGACACTATAAATCGTACAGAATGGGCTGCCTTACAATGGTAGAGGGAGTTTCCTCACCAAGTAACTCTCTATGTCAGCAATCCATTCCTCCAAATATAGACAACAGGATCATGAATCCAGAACTGGAATGGACCTAGCCTAATCCTTTATTTTAGAGATTTATTTAGATATTTTGTAAGATTATTTTAGAGATATTTAGGAAACTGAGGCTCAGATTAGCCACTTCACAGTATCAGAGAGGGTTGGAGGAGATCTGAGATCACATACCCCTGAAGCCCAAGCTAGTGTTCTCTCCACTGTAACATAGCTAGCTGCCTCCTATTCCATCAGGGCAGGGAAGATGTCCTTTCTTGGATAGATTTCTGCATCCATATGCCCAGGAAAGGACGTAAGAAAAGGATGAAAAATGACTTGAAGCAAAGATCCCCTTTCCCAGTTTAAATGGACTACCTAGAAACAAAACCAGCCAGTACTAGATGCAAGGGAGAAGTCTGAATTACACGGTGAAGAGTTCTGGGTCTGGAGTTAGATCTAGACTTTCAATCCTGACTTTGCCACACACAACCTGTATGCCCTTGAACGAATGGCTTCACCCCTTTGGTACCAAGATTCCTCTTGGTAAAATGAGGAAACTGGATGAGATGGTTTATTCTAAGTACACCTCCAGCTCTAAATCACAGAAGTAACCTGAGTAACTAGGGAGGAGGTTTGGGATGACGAAAGAGAGCAAGACTAGGAAAGGCTCTGCTGGCCCAGGGTGAAAAACACTGTCAAGGATTGGTTGGGGTGTCCAGACTCCACTTTGTTGGTTTTTTGGTTTTTTTTGGTCAGGCAATGGGGTTAAGTGACTTGCCCAGGGTCACACAGCTAGTAAGTGTTATGTGTCTGAGGCCCGGTTTGAACTCAGGTCCTCCTGAATCCAAGGCCGGTATTCCATCCACTGCACCATCTAGCTGCCCCTTCCACTCATGATTAAGGTATTGATGGAGGCTAGGAGGGAGAGGAGGTGGGAGTAGGAAGTAACCTTTTTCAATCCTTGAAGGGAATGGTCCAAGAAGGAACTGAGTAATGACTATTCTGGAAAGTTAACCCCAAACTGTGTTTTAACATATTGTGATCTTCTCTTTGTTCAAGATTCCTGTAAATTCTACCTTATGTCATCTTGTGGTAGAGTGACGTGTCAGAGGCTGTACTACTTTGGACAACTCTCTCTCTCTCTCCAAGCTACAAAGGCTTAAAGTCCTTCATAACTTGACTCCCTCCTGCTTCTCCAGTCTCCTGACATTTACTCTGCTCTGCACACTATTCAATCTAGCCTCCCGGACGCCCCTTGCAGGAGACGGTCCTTCTTTGGACTCTGCATTTTCACTGGCTCTCCTTCCATGCCTGGAATGCTTTCTCTTCTCATTCTATCCTCTTGCCTTCCTCAAATTCATGTCCTACCTTCTACAAGAAGCCTTTACAAATCCCCCTTAATATTAGCGCTTTCTCTTTGTGATTGTGATATGTATTTAGTATACATACTATATGTATGTATATGTATATGTATATAGTATACATACTATATATATACATACTATATAGATACATATACACACACACACATATATAGTTTGCATTAGAATGTTCGCTATTCAAGGACAGGGATTATGGGTTTTTGTTTTTATTTTTATTTTTGCCTTTCTGTGTACCCCTAGTGTTTAGTACATCGCCTGACCCATAGTAGGTAATTAATAAATGTTTGTTTACTTCTCTACAGAATGTTAAATGAAATATCGCTCTTTCTGGCCTACTTGTGTATAAAAGGCTCACTATTGATATTTTCCTTTAACAACCCCCAGGGCCATCTCCGCCCTGCCACTCCCCCCATCACGTGATTTCCCGTAACTCTTGGGTTCCCCTCCCCTAGAGCTAGTTTCATTTCTCTCTCCTCAGGAGCCATCCTGAAACTGTTTTCTTCCTTGAAGGCGTCTGGAGAGGATCTCGATGGCCGAGCTGCAGCCCCTGGCCGATGAGCTGACCTGCTCCATCTGCCTGGAGATCTTCCAGCAGCCCGTGACTACCCCGTGCGGCCACAACTTTTGCTTGCCCTGCCTGGACAAGACGTGGACCGGCCAGAGCTTCCAATTCTACTGCCCCCAGTGCCGAGAACCCTTCCAGAAGAGGCCACAGCTGAAGAAGAACACGGTGCTGTGCGCACTGGTGGAACAGCTACAGCAAGTTAAGATCCACAGGGATTTGGGGCAGCCCCACAGTGCGTCCCAAGATGGCGAGCCCTTGGACCCGCAGTCGAGGAAGGGGGACCAGGCGAAGGATGAGATGGTTGGGATCGTGGCCTGTGACTACTGCTTCCAGGCTCCTGCGGCCAAGACGTGCTTCACCTGCATGGCGTCCTTCTGCCAGGAGCACCTGCGTCCGCATCTGGACAACCCCACGTTCCACGGCCACGAGCTGCAATCGCCCGTCGGGGACCTGGCCCGTCGCAAGTGCCCTGAGCACGGCCGCTTGCGGGAGTTCTTCTGCTCTCAGCACGGCGTCAGCATCTGCTGCATCTGCCTGGTGGGGCACAAGACCTGCTCCCCGGTGGCCCTGGACGTGGCCAGGACCGAGCTGAAGGTGGGCAGAGGGGGAGGGGGGACAGGCACGGCGGGGGAGGTCCTGGGCTGAGTAGCGGCTCCGTGGAAGCCTGACCCCGGGCTCCAGCCTCAGGCCCTTGCGGGAAGCTGGTAGCAATGCCCGGCTTAGCTTCAATTTCCCCATGCCAGGATTAGTTTCTCTTCCCTGGAGTTTCGGACTTTCAAGGGGAAGACCCTGTAGTTGAGCCAAGAAACAGGTTAGGGGGCTTGTGAATGTGGGCGAGAGAGGCTCAAGAATCTCGGGGCACCTATTCTCTGTAGACGCCAGGCTGGGCAAAGGTGTTTGGGTCCCTTTTCTATGTGAGCCTGTTAATTTCTTGGTCTGTAGAAAGATGCGAAGTAATCCTGTCCCGTACCCAGACTTGTTAGGAGGAAAAGCGACAGTCAAAGCGAGAGGGCTTGCTTGCAGAGTAGTTCTTTGGGGTTCAAGCCCTGCCTCCTATATAGTGGCCGTATGACCCTGGGCAAGTCTCTTAACCCCCTCACTGCCCCAGGTAACTTATAAATTACAGAGTTCATGCTGTTTTGCTTTGATCGAGGGAGATTCCTTCTCCAGAATTCTCTCAGAGAGGTGCTGGGTGGATCCCGAGGTCTCTCCCTATCTATGAGGCAGTATTGCTAAACTCGGGAAATCTGGGAAATCGAAGGCCCCAAAATTATTTTAAAACGTATGATGGGGGAGTGACGAAAAGGTCTTCTTTCAGTTTCCTTGAGACCCTGATTGAAGTGACTGCCCTAAAATCATGAAGCTGGGATGAGAGGGTCATAGATCTTAGCAGATCAGGAACTGAGGTCAAAGTACTTGACCAGGGTGACACAAGTAGTAAATGTTTGAGGAGGGATTTGAACCCAGAACCTCTTACTTTGAAGCCAAAGCTCTTTCTCCTGTTGCTTTCAATTTTCTCACTTGTAAAATGAGGGGGTTAGCTTAGGTGATCTCTAAGGCTCCTTCCAGCTCTAAATCCTATGATCAGAAATACAGGGTCCACCAGTCCTACTGTCAGTCTCTCTGTCTTTCTGTTTCTACCTCTCTGTCTCACACTCTGTTTCTGTCTCTCTGTCTCTTCCTCTATCTCTCTGTCTCTCTGTGTCTCTTTTCTCTTTCTACCGGGCCAAAAAATGCCTTAAAGTTTCTCTCTCTCTCTCTCTTTTTTTTTACATTATCTGTTGTATCTTCCGGTAAAAATATATGCTCCTTGACAGCAGGAACTCTTTTTTTGTTGTTTTTCTTTGTATGTGAACCTCCTAGGATATATATATAGTAGTAGGGATCTAATAAATTCTTGAGTTGAAGGATGATTAGGTCTTTGAAGCCCAAGGCATTTTTGTAAACATTCTTTGAGAATTATGAACTCGTCACCATCTTCTCTCCCTTTTTTTCTTTTCAAAAATATTTTACTCTTTTCACATTCATTTTTAAAATTTTTAGTTCTAAAATCTCTTCCTCCTTCCAGCCTCTCTGAAACCCATTGAGAAGGCATGCAACAATACTCATTATACTTGTGAAGTCATGCAAAGCATACCTTTTTCTTTTTAGTGATGAAAATTGGTTCCTCCACACACATTCCTTTTTCCTTAATCTGAATCTTCTTGGGGTTTTGAGGAGATTTTTGGTGACTGCATTTTAAAAAAATAATATTTTATTTTTCTCCCAGTTATACGTAAAGATAGTTTTTAACATTTGTTGTTTTTTTTTAAATTGAGTTCCTAATTTTCTCTCTTCCTTCCTCACCTCCCTCTTCCCTGAGTTGGTAAGCAATTTGATGTAGGTTATACATGTTCAGTCCTGCAAAACATATTACCGTATTAGTCATGTTGTGAAAGAAGACACAGACCCAAAGGGGAAAAAAAAAACACAAAAAATACAGAAAAGTGAAAAATAGTATGCTTGCATCTGCATTTAGAATCAATCAGTTCTTTCTCTGCAGGTGAATAACATTTTTCATCACGAGTCCTTTGGAATTGTCTTGGATCATTGTATTGCTGAAAATAACCAACTCATTCATAGCTGATCATTGTACAGTATTGCTATTACCATGTACAATGTTCTCCTGGTTCTGCTCAATTCACTTTGCATCAATTCATACAAGTCTTAACAGGTTTTTCTGAAATCAGCCTGCTCATCATGTCTTACAACACAGTAACATTCCATTATACCATATACCGCAACTTGTTCAGCCATTTCCCAATTGATGGGCATCCCCTCAATTTCCAATTCTTTGCCACTGCAAAAAGTCATTGCGTTTAAAAATTTTGAATTCCAAATTCTCTCCCTTCCTTTCTTCCTTTCCCTCTCTTTGAGAAGGCAGGCTATTTGATGTAGATTAGACATATGTAGGTTATGCTGCCAAAGAAAACACAGACAAAAAAAGTAATCTGTAAAATAAAGGAGATTCGATGTTCTCTAAAGTTGCTTCCAGCTCTAATATTCTAACTGTGATGTGTCCAAGGTAACAGAGCAAGTTAGTAGCAGACCACCTCTGTGTCCAACATTCTGTCTTCTCAAGTCCCTGACCACATTGCCTCTGAGTTCCCTTCTAGCTCTGTGGTTCTGTGATTTCCTCTTTGGGGCTGGGGCTTTACCCAAGAGACAGGTTTTTTTTTTTTAATCTAATAGGGCACCTCCTATAATTGGGGCTTTAAACAGGACACTTCTCAGTGACCTGTGCTTTCAGAGTAACTTCATCTCCCTGCTGTTATCATGTCAAATTCGGCTTTAAGGTCTGGCTCTGGATTCTGGATTGAGTTAAGGGGGTTGACATTGCCAATCAAACAGAGGAAATGAAGTTATTTCCTGGGCACCTAAGAGGTCATATGCAACCTTATTGTCAAAAGACTGACCTCTTCTCCCATCCCCATTTCTATGTCCACAATCTGAGTTTGAAATCAGGTTTTCCATGAACTTGCTATGTGACCTTGTACCTTGACCAGTAAGAATGTACCTTGACCAGTAAGAATGTGAGAGCTGAAAGTAACCCTAGATATCTTGGAGTTGGAGGAATCTTAACCTTTTGTTGTATATAGCCCATGTATAAGCCTGTGTACCCCTTCTCAGAATAATGTTTTTTAATGCATAAGATAAAATATAATAGATAGGATCATTAAAGAAACCAATTATAGAGAAATATAGTTACTAGACTATTAAAAGAATAAGTTCACAGACTCTAAGTTAAAAACACCTTATTAGGTCTAATTAAATCTAAATTTCCCCATTGTGCAAGAGAGACTACTGAGACCCAGAAAATTGAAATGACCTGTCCAAGATCTTACAGCAAGTTAGGAATTCTGAGTTTGTTTCTTCATACATAAAATGAGAGAGGTAATCCATACCTATATCACAAGATTATTTGGGAGATGAAAATGAGTCACTTAAAATGAGAGATGAATTCTTTTTAAAATTAATTTTTTGCTGGTTTTTAAAAATTATTAATTTTGTATTTTGAATTTAGAAAAAACAACTAAAATGGCCATTTCCATATAAGTAGAAGAACAGAAAAAGAGGATTGGCATGGAAAATTAGTTCTTTACAAATGTAGAGTGTTTGGGATATAGCATGGGGACCTGGCAGCTTCTGGGAGCATCATGGATTTTGGGCTGAGGGCCACTGCCAGTCAATCACTTGAATTTCTCTCACTCTTGTTTTTAATTGCAGTCCAAGATGAAGCAGAAGCTGACAGTCATATATGATCATATCAATATGGCTTCAAGTGCCTTGAGAGATGTAAAGTTGAAACAACGTGCAGTCCAGGTAAATAGGCAATGCCTTTACCAGTCATCCAGGCTTAGATGACTTATCTCCCTGACTCCCAGCTGTCCCATTTTAATGGAGATATTGACAAATTGAAGGCATGCCCAGCAGCTCCCTTCCAGAATTAGAGAGACCCATGCCTGAAACCTTCTGACTAATTTGAAGATTAAGATTTTCAAATATTTGGAGGTCTCCCATGGGGAAGATGGATTAGATTGATTCTGTTTACAAGGGGAGGGCAGAACTAGTGATTAGAAGAGGCATAATTCAGCTCCCTGTCATTCCAGTCCACTAATAAGAACTTTGCACCAATTAAAGTCATCTCTCAATGCAACTGGTTGCTTTGTGAAGCATTAAGTTCCCCATCCCTGGGTGTGTTCCAACAAAGTCCCAAAGACCAATTTTTGGAGATTGTTGTAGAGTGGGGAAGGTTGGATTTGATGACATCTAAGGTCCTTTTGAACCCAAAGATTCTATGCTTCTCTAGGACTTACAAGTCATTCTAACCTTCCTTGAGAGCTAAAAATCAAAGTTGAGCTTGGAAATCCTAGTTACATATCAAATATGGAATCATTTCAATCATTGATTTAAAAGGTAACCTTGGACCCAGTTCCCCCTCTGCCTGCTAAGTAGAAATGTTGACAAATTGGGGGGCTTGCCCAAAGGTTCACATCCAGGATTAGAGGGACCTAGATTCCATTTGCAATCAGAGGGCAGATGTAGCCCTTTGCTTATGTTAGGTTATCTAGCACTCCTCTGGTGAAATGACGGTGATGGGATAGGAAAAAAGCTCTGTAGAAGCACTGGGACTGTCCCATCTTATTTAAAGCCACTCCAAATCAAAATCTTTCTTCGGATCCCTTAGGATACAGCAGCTAGAAAGATGGACTTGTTGAAACATGAATATGAAGAAATGAAAGCCCTCATCGAATCAGAAGAGAAGAGTTCTCTGAGGAAGCTGAAAGAGGAAGAAAAGAGAGTTTTGGACAAATATGACCATGTTCATCAGGTCCTGCAAAAGAAAAAGGGGGAAATTGAGTCTATAAAAGAAGAGATTGAACTTTTGCTCACAAAAAATGATGAGATTGCCTTTTTGGAGGTGAGTCCTCATTGAGTAGATCCACAAGGGCTATATTGAATGCCTGCCTTGCCTCTTACTGGGCCAACTGTTCCTCTGATTCCCTCCCCTTTCAGGAGTATCACTGTTGTTGTTCTGGACCTGTGATTTCATCAGAGCAGGGAACTCCCAATGTGGAAATTCCCAGTGTAGATGATCTATATTTTAGCCTCAGAGAGTTGCACTGAGAAGTATGTGTCAGGGGAAGGCTAGCTCTCTGGACATTTTCTATTATATGTTGTCTTTTCCCATTGTAATGTAAACTGCTGCAGGGCAGGGACTGTCTTTTTTCTTATATTTGTATCTCCAGCCATAGTACCTGGCCTTAAATGCCTGTTTCCTTGTTGTACCTCACTGCCTCCCTAGCCATTATAGGGTGGTAAAAGTCTACGAGAACATGGAGCCTGCCTTTCTTTAAAAAAAAAAAAAAGTTTTATTGATGCTTCTTATATTTATTCCACCATCACTTCAATACCCCCTCCATTTCTCCAGATTGAACCCTCCTTTGTGACAAAGAAAAAGCAGTTAGTAAATGTACCAGTTATGAACAGCTTGGTGGCACAGTGGATAGACCACTGGGTTTGGAGTCAAGAAGACTCATCTTCCCGAGTTCAAATGTGGCCTCAGACAACTTACTAGCTGTGTGACCCTGGGCAAGTCACTTAACCCTGTTTGAGACATGATGCTTTTATTTATTTATTCATATCGAGATATCTACTGCCTTCGTAGTGTGGCACAGTGGAAAGATGACTGAATCTAGAGAAGAAAGAGGATGTGCTGGGTTCAAGTCCAAGCTCACCTCTCTGATTTGGGGCGAGTCACATAATCTCTTTGGGCTTCAGTTTCCTTATCTGTAGAGTGATAGGGTTGGACTAGATGGTCTCTGAGGGCTCTTGAAACTCTAAATCTATAAATCTATAATTGTCTATGAGGGTAGCTAGGTGGCTCAGTGGATAGAGTGCTGGACCTGGAATCAAGAGACTTATCTTCCTGAGTTCAAATCTTGCCGCAGACACTAGCTGTGTGACCCCGGGCAAGTCACTTAACCCTGTTTGCCTCAGTTTCCTCCTCTATAAAATGAGTTGGAGAAGGAAATGGCAAATCACTCCAGTGTCTTTGCCAAGAAAACCCCACATGGGGTCATGAAGAATCAAATATGACTGAAAAACGACACACAATCATACCTAATACGGTGACTGACCCTGCTAATGCCTGTTCTATCCTAGTTGTCTTCTGCCTCCCACTCTGCTAGGAGGAGGTGGCTATATTATCTCTTTTAGCAGGCCGGGTGGTGCACTAGATAAAACTTTCAGACCCAGACTCAGGAAGCCCTGAGTTCAAATACAGCTTCAGATACTTCCTTGCTGTGTGACTTTGGGCAATTCACTTAACCACTGTCTCAGTTTCCTCACCTGTAAAATGGTAATTATAATGGTACCTACCTCAGGATTGTTGTGAGGATAAAATCAGATAATGTTTTGAAAGCCCATTGCAACCCTTAAAGCAGTATCTAAATGCTAGCTATTATAATATATTATTATTATTTTTCAGTTACTTAGAGTTCTACTTCCTTTTAATTTTCCTTCCATTTGCATTGTTGTAGATATGTGCATGTGTTGCTCCTGATTTTATTCCTTTCATTCATCATCAGGTCATACAAAACTTTCTGTGTGCTCTTGATTCACACTTATCATTTCTTACTGGACATCACTGTTCCATTGCATTCGTATAGCCTTTCTCCAAACAATGAGTCCTTACTTTTGCTTTCAGTTCTTTGCCACTAGAGAAAAGGCTGCCATGAATGTTTTGTATATGTTGGCCTTTTGTTTCTGATTTTGAATTCCTTGGGCTCATTACCCAAAGGTCTCTGGGTCAAAGGATTTGGATAGTTCAGTCACCTTTCTGGCATAGTTTCAAAAAGCTCTCACCACTCCACCAACAGCATGTTAGTATGCTTGTCTTCCCACAGCCCCTCCAGTACTGAGTCTTGTTTTTTTTAATCATTTTCTCCAATTTGTTTGATGTGAGATGGAGCCTCATAGTTGTTTTAACTTGAATTCTTCTTACTATTTAGTGATTTGGAGCATATCGTCAAGTAGTTACTTAGAGTCTGCAATTTTTCTTTTAAAAACTTTCTAGCCTTTGACCACTGGTCTATTGGGGAGAAAGGCTTTTGGTATTATATATCTGTGTCCAAATCCTTTGATTTGGAATATTATTGGATAGTCAGAAATGAGAGCTATGAGGAGACGTGTGGGAAAATCTGCATGAAGATGACGTGGCTGGAGGACTCTCCCCTCTTTTCAGTATCTGCCCAGTTTGTCCTCATCCTCATCTACCATCCTTCCCACCTGGCTCAGTGTTAGGACTTTACTCGGGAGTAGCAAATGAGTGTCCTTCCACCTGCACACACATGCCCCTCTACCTTGTCATTATGGGGAGGGAGATCCACAGACTGATTTGTCCCAGGCCCCACACTTCCCTAGCATGGAACTTGGTTCTGTACTCCCCACACCCTAGCAAACTCCCTGCCTACTCTCAGCCAAATCTTTCCTTTCAGTTGTTTTTCTAGGAGTTGGGAGAAGTGGAAGGTCTCCCAAAGTGGTGCAGTTTCACCTGCTTTCCCTTTGTGGCCAAGGTCATGCATGTGCATGAGGGTTTGATTATGTGAGAGATAGTGTGGTACAATGGAAAGAGAGCTGACCCCAAAGCCAGGAAGATCTGGATTCAGGTTCTGCCCCCCCCAACTCATCCTGGTTATGTGACTTTGGGTGAGTCAGTCAACCTCTCAGGGCTCTAGGCGACTCTAAGCCTATAAGTTGCAAAGCAGGTGCTGATCTGTATCGGTGGAAGATTTTCTTTAAGCAGGAGTTCTCTATACCTGTGAAATCCCAGGCTCAGTCCCTGTCCTTATCCCCCTGGCTCAGGTTCAAGGTGTCACCTGTGATACAGCAAAGTCACCTGGACCTGAAAGGATGACCTCTGGGATACTGGGCAACTTGCTTTTTTCTCTGAGCTTCAACATCCTTGGTCAAATTCAATTCAAGAAACATTTGGTCGGGGTTATGGCTACCAAGATGACAATGCTTGCTCTCAGTGAGTTGGTAGTCTATTGCATGGGGGGAGGAAGATATATATAAAAAAATGAGTGTAATTGGAGGTTATCTGAGGAAGGAGACTAGACTGACAATGGAGGGATCAGGGAAGCTTTCATGGCAACTGAGCTGAGCCTTGAAGGAAGTCAAGGATGCTGAGAGGAGAGTGGAGGAGGGAGTGCATTTAAAAGAAATATATTTTATTGCTGTTCTTTTACATCCATGTCACTTCCCACTGACAGCCTCCCCTGTAACAGATCAGAATATTGCGCAAAATACAATGGCCAGATCAGAATATGCTTCCTGTATTGCACACCTCTGGTCCAGTAACTCCTGGAGGAAAGATGAGACTCATACTTCACCCACAGCCCTCAGAGGTCATTTTTGATCGCTACTTTGATCTGCCTTTTGGAATCTTACAAAGTGCCCTCCCCTTCCTTTACATGGTCCTGCTTATTTCATTGGGCTTCTCTTTAAGCATTGGTCATTTCATACAGCTCATTCATAGTTCCATTTCATTCATACATGACATTTTACTCATGCCCCAACTACTGAATATCCACTTTGTTCCTGCTATAATGAAGAAGGGTTGCTTTAAACATTTTCCTGTAGGTGGAATCTTGGGAGGGAGTCCATGCCAAGCATGAGAGCTAGTCATTCATAAAAACATGGAGGAGGCAGGAGATGAAATGTCAAGGTCAGGAACAGCTATACTTGAACACAAAGAGTTATTAATGAAGGAGAATAGTTTGAGATAAGTCTGGAAAAGTAGGTTGGAGCCAGATTATTTAGGACTTTCAAAGGCAGGTTAGGGAGTTTATAAGCAATAGGTAGCCACTGAAGGGTTTTGAGCAGGGAAGTAATATGGTTAGGCCTATACCACTGGAAGATTATTATGAAAGGTGGTTTGGAGAGAGGAATGATTGAAAGTGAAGCAACCTATTAGGAAGCCATTGTAAAAGTCCTGCTAAGAAGTGTTGAAGGACTGAAGTGATGTGGCTGTGGAGGAGGAGAGAGGTTGCATGTGAGAGATTGTGGAGGGCTAGGTGCAGCAACATTTTGCAAATAGGGCAGGGAGCAAGGAGAGGCATGCAGCAAATATGACTTCTAGGCTGCAAAATTGCATGACTTGAAGGGAGACTTTGAGAAGTTTCGGTGCACACCCCTCATTTTCGGAAGGGAAAACAGGTCCAGAAATGTTCAGTGAGGGGGCTGGGCTAGGTGATCCTTAATCAAAGTCCCTTTTGTGATTCTCTGAAGCTTAACCTTGTGTATTTTTCCTGGGCTAACCACCTGCCTTGTTTTAGAAAGCCTCGAAGCTGCAAGAACTTGTCATCAAGGCTGTGTACGTACCAAAGAATGATTTAGACCAAGAGATGATCCACAGTGTTTATCAAAATGCCTACTCCCTTAAAGACGTTTTAAAACATGAAATAAACAACCTTCAAGAGAAGAAAACAGAGGAAGCTACTAGCCCAGGTAATTACTTTAAAAAAAAAACAACCAACTATTTTGATCTTAACAAATACCAAATCCAACTGGAGTTTCTATATTCACAGTAGAACAGAAAAATATTTATACATTTAACTGCAGACATTAATTATATATAGCTTGTTTTTCTTTTTTTGAGGTAATTTTCAAAGCTGTTCTGCTTACCTGTAGCTTTTTCTGGCCTTACTTCTGTTTTCTTCTGTGCACTGAAAAAAATTCTTAAATGATTCTTTTTTTCCTTTTGTTTCTTTTTTTTGGGGGACCCTGTCCCTAACCCCTTCTTTCTCCTTCTAATCCCTATTGAAGACTTAAAAAAAAAGAAAAGTCCTTGTGACATTTATACATAGCCAAGCAAATCAAATTCTCACATTGACTGTATCTGAAAATTTATATCTTATTATTCATCCTGAATCTTTATATTTCTGTCAGCAGGTAGGTAGCATGCTTCCTTATCAGTCTTCTGGAATTGTGATTGATTGTTGCATTGATCAGAGTCCTGAAGTCTTTCAAAGTTGTTTTTCTTTATACTAATGTTGTTATTGTAAAAAAATGTTCTCTTAATTTTGCCCTCTTCACTCTGCATCAGTTTATATGAATCTTCCAAAGTTTCTCTGGAATTATCCTTGTCATCATTCCTTAGTAGCCCCAGGATTAATAGTCATTATATTTGGGACAAAAATTCTATTCTGGATGGTAGGGTGGTGGTAGTTGGGGGTTATGGAGAGTAGTTTTGGGGAGAACTCAACCATCCTCTCCATACTGGACAGTTTGGGGAAGGAAAAGAGATTTGGTACCTTTTCAAAACCTCCTCCATTCTCTGTGCATACTGTTTAAAGCCAACAGCCAGGTTCCTCTCTACTTTTCTACCCTTATTACACATTGTTCCCTTTCTCATATTCTGCATGAAGAACTGGCCTTCTCTCAACTCTCAACTCTCTTCCTTTGCATAGACTGTCCCCCATGTCTGGAATATATTCTCTCCTCATCTCCAACTCTTAGAATCCCAATCTTCCTTCAAAGCTCAGTTGAAATATCTTCTACACCTTCTGTATTAGTCCCTTCTTAATTAACATTCCCCTTCCTCTCTCCTCAATTACCTTGTATGATAAAGAATCACAGAATTTTTGAGCTGGGGTACCCTTGGTAGCTATCTACATTAAAAAAATCCTCTGATGAAAATTAAAATTAATATTACTTTGATTCTATAATGTATTGATTTTATATCGTAATTGGATCTGTATCTGCCTAAAATTACCTTTCTATGTCCTTGAGTTGTGGTTTGAGTTAAAGTTATAATTAAAAGAAAAGTTGTTTTCTCTCATACTGGTAGCCCCTAGGATACTTCCATGACATCTGTTTGTTATAGTCATGCCCCACAAGTTAACTTGGCACCATCCTGAAAAGATATGTCTTCAGTCTTTGGATGTCCTTGTGCAATTAGGGGAGTTTTTCCCTTTTCCAAGGAGACTGCAAATCTGGTAGTTTTGATCCCCTAGCAAAGATTACAAGATGCAAATGGGTCCCATTGAATAGTGAACATTCCTTAGTTGTCAGAGAGGAGCGGTGATTAGCCTCATGTGAATGCCAGCCCACCTTTCTCAATTTAGCCAATTGTGGTGTTCCTGCCTCAACCCTACAACCTCTCACTTTTTCTCCATGCCTATCAAAACCCTTTCTTTGTGTATCATAAAAAGGGTCCCCTCCTTCTCACTGAGGTTGCCAGTCAGACCCACTTTGTTAACAGCTGTGTACCTCAGTTTATCTTTATTAATTTTATTTGCCATACCCTACTATAAAATAACCAACAAGTTGTCAGCTAATCTTTACTTGAAGACCTCCAAAGAGGGGACAACCCATGAGCTCTCAAGGCAGCCCATTCCACTTTTGGACAGCTCGAATTATTGTGAAGTTTCTCTTGCCATCACACCTGAATTTGCCTCTTTGAGGGTTCCCACCATTACTTCTGATTCTTCCCTTTAAGGACAAATAGAGTAAGTCTAATCCCAACTAGATGGTCAGTGGCTAGAGTGCCCAACCTGGAGTGAGGAAGACTCATCTCCCCAAGTTCAAATCAGGCCTCAGACACTTCCTAGCTGTGTGACCCTGGGCAAGTCACTTAACCCTGTTTGTCTCAGTTTCCTCATCTGTAAAATAAGCTGAAGGAAAAATGACAGACCACGTTAACATCTTTGCAAAGAAAACCCCACAGATGAGTCAGACATGACTGAACAAGAAAAAAACAAAACAAAACAAAATCCCTCCTCCAGATGATAGCCTTTCGGATGCTGGAAGACAGCTATCATGTTCTCCCTGAGTCTTCTCCATACTAAATATTACCAATACCCTGAACTGATCCTCCTAAGAAATGAATTCAAGGCCTTTCATTATCCTGGTTCCCCTCCTCTGGACTCTCACCAGCTTATCAATGTTCTTCTTAAACTGTGGCAACAAGGACTAAACACAGTATTCAAGATGAGGTATGACTAGGGAATTGCACAGTGGCCCTATCATATCCTTATTCCTAGAAACCATTCTCCTAATGAAGCCCAGGATTACATTAGCTTTTTTTGTCTCCCATATCAATCCCATTGCTGACTCATATTAAGCTTCTGGTCCATTGAAATCCCCAGACCTTTTTAAGAGTAACTGCTGTCTAATCATGTCTCTCCCATCTTGAACTTGTGAAGAGTTGTTTTTTGATCCAAGTGTAGGGACTTTTATCTTTATCTCCATTGAATTTCATCTTATCAGATTCAGCCCAATATTCCAGGCAGTCCAGATGTTTTTTTTAGTCCAGATGTTTTTGAATCCTGATTCTATCATTCAATATCCTAGTGATCCCACCTAGCTCTGTATTATCTTTGTGCAAAGTTTCATGAGCATTCCTTCTATGTTGTTATTGTTTCATCATTTTTCAGTCCTGCCTGACTCTTTTGACCCCATTTGGGGTTTTCTTGGCAATGATACTGGAATGCTCTGCCATTTCCTTCTCCAGCTCATTTTATAGATGAGGAAACTGAGACAAACAGGGTTAAGTGACTTGCCCAGAGACACACAAGTAGTTTCTGAGCATTCCATCTATACATTTAATTGAATCACTGATAAAAATGTTAACTGGCACTGGGCCAAACTCAGATTTATAGAGTATTCTCTTGGAAACCTTCTGCCATAATGATATTGAGCTATTAGTAAATATTCTTTGAGTCGGGCCATCCAAAAAGTCATGTATCCATCTAATTGCCTTCTTGTCTGGTCCCTGTTTCTCCATCTTTTCCACAAGAATAGTATAAGCAAAGGTGTGCTGATAACTGTGTGACCACCAGCAAGGGACCAGGAAAGGAAGAGGAAGTTTAACTTAAATTATTCACATTTTCTCCATCACCTTAAACCTCAATAACTAACAATATACAAAACAGACCTTGATTTGTAGTGTTTGCCTATTTTTGAAGTGTCAGTGCTCACACTGACAATTTAACAGTTGTCTCTTGTTAGCTGGTTAGAGCTGGCTCCAGCATGCCCCTGAGTATGAGGCACTTTATGAAGAACTTTACCAATATTCAGTTAAAGTATATCTATGCCATTCCTGTCATCTGCTTGTTGATTTATTCTGATGACAAAGGAAAAGAGGTTACTCTGGCATGACCTGTTCCCTTAGAGGGTGACCTGGTCTTTTGAAATCATTGCTTCCCTTTCTAGAAATTCATGGACTCTTTAATGAGTTTCTAAGAGTTTCCCCAGGAATTGAAATGAGTTTGTAGACTCTGTTCTCTTCTCTTTTTTCTTTATTTTTGGAAAACTGGGATAATATTTGCCATTCTCTGACCCTGCAATATCTCTCCTATTTCCTGTGATCTTTCAAATATTACTGACAGTGGGAAAGCAAGCATGTCTGCCAGTTCTTTTATTATCCGAGGGTATGGTTGATTGGTGCCAAGTGATGTGTATTTATCAACATCAGCTAAGTTTCTTCAGCCATCTTCTTACTCATCTTGGGTATCAGTTCCTTTTTTACTCATTTTTGCTTCATCATTTCCATTGTAAAGGTCATTGCCCTTTACAGAGAAAAGAGAAGTGATATATGCACCGATCAGCTGTACTTTCTCTCTGTGGTTAATTATCATTGCATTTACTCTCAAGTAAAGGTTTTACCCTTTCTTTATTCATCCCAATTTAGGTTTTTTTCTTTTTTTAAACCCCCTCCTTTTTTTTTTTTTTTAGCATTTCTCATCAGCCTCATCTTGTTTTGAACTTTAGCACATATGATACTGAGTTTGTTTTTGTTTTTTTTTTGTATGGTCTGTTTCGCACTTTTATATGTATCTTCTGTTACCTGACCTTGCTTCTTACTGCTGTACTTCCCCCTCTCATCCCCACCTCCAAACCTAAGTTGTTCAGTGAGTTCCCATATGCATCCACATCAGTCTCTTTAGACCAATCCCAATTTTTTTCTTATCATTAGGACTGTTTCCCTTTGTATCTTCAGAATTTCATCCTTGAGAATCTTCTCCTTGAGCTGATTTTCTTTGTATCATTTTACTCCATGGGATCTTACTCATCCTTCCTTTGGATACATTAAAATCTGCTTTCCCCAGATCCAGGGTGCATGACAGACTATGCCTGCATCTCCTCTCCTCCATCACAGTCTCTTAGGTATGTTCATTTCTCCCTTAGCATTCCTATTATTTCCTCTCCAGTAACTGGTTACTCCCAGTTGGGGAGAATCACATCCAGAATAGAATTTCCTCTTGTTTCTTCTACTTTTTGAAGGATGAAATAAATTGTCTCTTTGGCAAACCAAGAACTTATTAACTGCTCTGCTTCTGGCAGAGAGAGAGAGTTCCATCAGATGTCTGGATAATGGAAATGCCCCAATCACTACTATAGCATGCCTCTACACCAGGCTTGTTATCTGTTTCTATACTCCTTGTCCATTTCTCTTTCCATCCAGGTGGTCTGTATTATATTTCAATGACAAAATCACTCTTGTTTCTCCCTCCATTGACCTTCACCAAATACATTCTGTCATGATTCCATCCTCCTGCTCCTGTATTTCCTCATATGAGTATATCTTTTCAATATTCTGTGTTCCCAACTCCCCCAACTTCTTACCTATTCTATTTCTTTTGGAATGAAATACACCGGTCCAGAGCCTCAGTCCACTCATGGGTTGTATTCTCCCAATTCTCAGTGATATTTGTGAAGTCAAATTTATCTCCTTAGATTAGGACTTCTGTTGCATTTGGCTTGTTGCCTAAACTTTGGGCATTAAACATTTGAGGCCACAGGTTTTGCTGCTGGATCTGTTCTTGTGTTTTGGCTCCCGTGAACTTCCGGGTATTGAATTGGTTCTCTCCCAACATAGCTTCATCCTGTGTTATCTAGCTTGAGGGATGTAGGTAGTCAGTCTGCTTCCTCCCCCATCCCTTTTAGTTCAAAGCTCATGTGATTAGATTGGCAAGACACGCAGCCAATTTCCAGGCAGCTAGATAACTCAGTTGATGTGGCACTGGTCCTGGAGTCTTCCTGACTTTTTGAACCTAAGTTCAAATCTGGCCTCAGACATTCACTAGCTGTGTGACTCTAGGCTAGTCACTTAACCTCTGTTTGCCTAATCCACTGGAGAAAAAAATGCCTAACCACTCTAGTATCTTTCCCAAGAAAATCCCATACAGGGTCATGAAGAGTTAGACATGACTGAACAGCAACTCCATTGCTGCCCAGAAATCTGTTGTCTATATATTTTAAGCCATGGTCAAGAAGCACAAATCCCATTTCCAGACACCACCTTCTTAGCCAGCTGTTGATATCTCAAATTATTTTTTTTTCTTTTGCATCCGTTTCATTCAGGGGACAACAGTGAGGACAATAAACTTATGCCACTTCAGTTTCTTGACCAGTGTCTTAATAATCACTGACAATGCCTTTTTAGGTTCCTTTTTGTGGCACCATTTGATGTTGTTGTTGAGTTGTTTCAGTCATGTCCAACTCTTCATGGATCACATTTGGGGTTTTCTTGGCAAAGACACCGGAGTGGTTTGCCATTTGCTTCTCCAGTTCATTTGACAGATGAGGAAACTGAGGTAAACAGGGTTAAGGGACTTGCCCAGGATCACACAGCTAGTAAGTGACTGAGTCCAGATTTGAATTCAGGTCTTGTTGACTCCAGGTGTAGTGCTCTGTCTACTGTGGCCACCTAGCTGGCCATGGCACCATTTGTGCCCACATTAATCTCCAGAAGTAAATGTTATCATCTGTTTTGGTAAGTCTTGGGAGGCTCTCTGGTAGGTCTTCAGTATATGTTTTGGGAGGACAACTACCCTCTCTTTTCTTGTTACCAGGTTGATAAGTAGCTGCCTCCATACCCCGAATCGGGGATTCACCTACTATTACTACAATTACTATTACTTGTCACTTCTTCTATGACCCTTACTAAATATCTCATCTGGTAGCTTTGGTGGCTCTACTCTATCATCTTATACAGGATTAATTGCAAGGAATCACTACCTCCTATTACTCTCTGATTCTTCCTCAATCTTTTACTTATTTACATTGTATAGACTATTTCTACTTATATGTTTGCATTGTCTTCCGCCTGATAGAGTATCAGCTCCATGGAGAACAAGCCAAGCACAGTTACACTAATGTATCTGTATCCTTGATGCCAGGTGAATAAGAAGTGCTTGATGGTTGATTGATAGCCCCACTCCTGATCTCTCTTCTGGATTCAGCTGGGTGGTTTTCATCATCATTTGGTTATTTCTTTTTTATAAAACAGACTGTTTGCCACCACCCAGTCATGTCCTAGCAGAAGTTGACTGATTAGTTTGGGGCCACTTAAATCAACTTTAAGGGAATTTTACATTTGATCCAAGTTATAACTTCTCTATGTTTGATCTGTCAGTACCTCCTAGCCATATCATTTTGCTCATTAGCCTTGCTACTAAAAGATGGTATGGGCCAGAAAAGAAGAAACTCCAGGTTGGTCTGCTAACCACCTTCCTCACTGAAATTGTACTTGATTGGGTGGAGAGGCCACTGGAAAGTATTGACCAAAATGTGGTGTTTAAATCACCCATTAATTTCAAATATCCAAATTCTCCCCATTTCCCCTGTATGTCTTAATTAATTTATTAAGCATTTGTTAGGCATCTGCTTATATTCAAGGCATATGCTAGATGCTCAGGGGGATTACAAGGACAGACAAATATAGGCTCATTCTGTGGCTTAGAGTCTAATACAGACAACTGGTATATAAAACAGGTTGGGTTAAGTGCTCAAAAATAAGCATTTATTAAGCATCTGCTGTGTGCCAGGCACTGTGCTAAGTGCTGAGTATATAAAAGAAAGGCAAAAAAGAGTTCCTGTTCTCAAGGAGCTCAGAGTTTAATGGAAACCAACACACAAACAACTATGAACAAAGCAGATATGTGCAAGATATCACATTATATATGAGAGAATCATCAGAGGGAAGACACTAGCGTGAAGTCATGGCACTGGTAGAACCAAGAAGGCCAAGAGATAAGGTCTCTCTTGGGGGAAATCTTGTAGAAGCATAGAATTTTAGAACTGAAAGGGATCTCAGAGAGCTAGCTCCAACTTTGTGGGGGAGGTACATTTGTCTTAGGGTCTTAGAGGATGGGCAAGATTTCAGTTGTCACAGACATGGGAGAAGAGTATGATAGGTATAGTAAATGTTGTGAGTACAAGTACAGAGGTAAGAAATGATAGGATGTTTCTAGGAGATAACAGGTAGTTTGGTTGGGCTGGAAAGAATCTTGCTCAATGAGACTAAGAAAAAGCAGGCTGAGAATAGATGGGGTTGGGGGTGGGGCTTTGCCTCATCTTGGGGAGTTTGCAAAGTGGCTGATGTGTTTGTTTGAAGCTCAGTTGTGTGTACTGATCCCAATCTCTGTTGGAATAGATGAATCTGGAAAACCTTCATCTTTCTTTGGACCAACATATCCCAATAGAGATTATCGCCAAACAAGACGGCTGCCCAGTAAGTGATTCCTCATAAGGCTATGCCCCGCTGTGCCTATGGTGATGCTTTTTGCAGAGGAAATTGCTAAGTCTGTTGGTAGGTGTTACTGGTAAGATGCTCATGGCTCTATTTTCATCTCTTAAAAGGGGACAAGCCAGGGGACAAACCACAGCCCAAGCCACAGAGGCAGCAGCAGGAGAAAAGTAGAGTTACAGATGAGAGTAAGTAAATGTGGAAGAACAAAAAGCAATTGGGTTTTTATTTGTTTGTTTGTTTTTGCCATCTCTACGCAGTAGACAGCCACTGAGAAGCGAAAAGGATTTTACCATGACCAATAGATGCTGGGTAATCATCCAGTTCAACCCTCTAATTATACGGACAAGAAAACAAGGCCAGAGAAATTTAGTAACTTGTCCGAGGATGTAGATAGTAAGCAGCAGAGTGGCTATGCTAACCCAGGTCCTCCAATGACCTTTTATTTAAACTTTATATCAAAATATTTTCATGTTTGGCTTCTGGGAGGAAAATATTTTTCACTTTTATTTTGTTTTTGTTTTTTGTTTTAGGTAATTTGGGTTAAGTGACTTGCCCAGGGTCACACAGCTAGTAAGTGTCAAGTGTTTGGTCTGAGGCCGGATTTGAACTCAGGTCCTCCTGACTTCAGGGCCGATGCTCTATCTACTGCGACACCTAGCTGCCCCTATTTTTCAGTTTTAGATACATTTTATTGCTGCCTTTTGTTTTTGCATCACAGTAATTTCTGGAAACATCCTTCCTCTTTCCTCTCCCAACTCTTCAAAATTGAACCCTCCCTTGTAATAAAAACAGGCAAAAACACCCAGAAAACACATGCCAAGTTACAAAAGCCTGACACACAACCTTCTGGCCTCTGGATATCAGTGCCCGTGTTTATGTGGTACTTCACAGGCTCCAGCACATCCCAACAGCCCTGGGTCATTCAAGGATAGGAAACGGAACTGGGGGTATTTAAGCTGGAGAAGAGGAGACTCGGGGTGATGTGAGAGTGGTTTTCAAGTATTTGGCATGAGCATATGCCATATACATATGGCAGACTGCATATGATAAGATATACAAGATTCTTTCCTAGTAGATCCCTGTTTCTGCTGGGAGGAAGGAGATAAGAATATCACTCTCTCCTGAAGTATTTGAGAGTTTGGTGGGGATATCTGTAGACCATACCAAAAATTAAGAAGGGGCAAGGTAGAGGGTCAAAGGAAAGGAAAGAAAACTGAATCACTGAAAGATTTTTTTAAATGCACAGAAAAGAACAGGACAGCCACAAATAATCACAGATAAACAAGAAAGCTTTGGGAGTTTAAGTGTTGAATGTATTATATATTTAAAAAGAAAAATGAACTCTATATAATAGAGATCTGCAATTTCATATAATCCCCTTTTCTTTTCTACTATGCATGTGGAAATACCTTTTTATTCTATTTGTCAAGTTCATAATTTTTTTAAAAAGAAAAATAGGTGGAGGTTAATTGATGGGGGTAGGCAAGACTTTCTTGTTTAAAATGTAAATGTGGAGTCAAAGTTTTCAAAAATATTTAGTAGCTTTACTTTTAATGTGCATGTGTATATATTATAAATTTCACCATGGGAACTATAAATAAAATAGCCAGACCACAAGGAAGATGGGATCCTGAGTTAGGTCACATGTGTGGTTATCCTTCAGAGCAGATAGGAAGGTAACTAGATAGATAAAGCATTTATTAACTACTTAGAAAATCTAACACGTATTTAAAAAAAAAAAGAAATGAAAAAGGGGTAGCTAGGTGGCGCAGTGGATAAAGCACTGGCCCTGAAGTCAGGAGCACCTAAGTTCAAATCCAGCCTCAGACACATAACACTTACTAGCTGTATGACCCTGGGCAAGTCACTTAACCGTAACTGCCTCACCAAAAAAAAAAAGGAAAAAGAAAAAGAAATCAAAGAAGGGGAAAAATGTAATAGAATGAGAACCTGAAGGGTAGAGTGGAACAGGAGAAAAAACACAGAAGAAAAAGGACATTAGTTTAGCCACCAAAAGGGACCACAGAGTCCATCTAGTCTAACTCCCTTATTTTACAGAAGAAGAAACTGAGTTCCAAAGAATATAAGTGATCTTCCCAAGGTCACACACCTGATATTTATTCTGTGTATATTTATATTCCCATACCTTACACAGTTCCTGAACATAGCAGATGCTTAAAAAATCCTTATTGATTGATATTTATATCAATTCCCTATATATATTGGACATCAGACCTTGATCAGACAGATTTGTGGGAAAGATTTTTTTCCCCAATTAACAGCTTCTCTTATAATTCTTATTCAAATGCATTGATTTTCTTCATGCAAAAGCTTTTCAGCTTTATGAAATAGTCCATATTATCTTATATGATCACATTTCTCCCTTGTTTAGGTAAGAATTCTTCCCCTAGTATAATCCTTATGTTATGGTGTAAGATACTAGTCTGCCTCTAATCTGCCAAATGGCTTTCTAGTTTTCCCAGCAGTTTTGTGATTTAGGGAGTCTTTGATACTAGGTGTTTTAGATTTGTTGAACACTAAACTACTATGCAAGACTATTTCCAAGTCTTGTTGACCTTGTCCATTCCATTGATCAACTCCTCAATTTTTTTTTTAACTTGTACCAAATAATTTTGATTAGTGTTTTTTACTATAGTTTGAGATTTGGTAATGTTAGGCCTTCTTCGTTCCTTTTTTTTTTTTTGCATTATTTTCTCTGACGTTCTTGATCTTTTATTCCATCAGATGAATTTCATTATGTATCTAATTCTATAAAGTAGTCCTGGGATACTTAGTTTGATATGACATTCAATCTATTAACTGATGTAGGTGCTATCATCATTTCTTATTATGAAGATTGTTTTATATTTGTATTCATACAAGTTCTGAGTGTGAATTGTTGAGTAGGTGTTAAGATTTTATATACATTTTGTAACTATATTGAATGGAATTTCTTTTTCTGTCTCCTGCTGGGTTTTGTCACTAATATAAAGAAAGTCTGGTTTTGTAGGTTTATTTTGTATTCTGCTAATTTCTGAACTTATAAATTGTTTTGATTAATATTTTCATTGGAGCCATTATATTATCTGCAAATAGAGATGATTTTGCCTCTTCTTTACTTGAGCTGATTCCTTCTATTTCTTTGTCTTTTCTCCCTCCTGTTATGGCCAGCATTTCTAGACCTATATCAAATAGTATTGGTGATAATGGCCACCTTTGCATTACTCTTGATCATATTGGAAAGCCTTCTTTTTAGTGTTTACACATTACAAATAATGCTGGTTTTTCATTTTATAGAAACATTATTTATTATAGTAAGAAAAGGTCCATTTAATTTTATGCTTTTCAGTGTCTTTAAAATAGATTTTTATGAATCGTCTTTGTTTTTACATCACCTAGTTTTTTTTGTTGTTTAGTTGTTTCATTTGTGTCTGACTCCTCATGATCCCATTTGGGATTTTCTTGGCAAAGATACTGGAGTGATTTGTCATTTTCTTCTCCAGCTCACTTTACAGGAAACAGAGGCAAATAGAGTTGAGTGACTTATCTAGGGTCACATAATTACTAAGTGTCTGAGGCCAGATTTAAACTCAGGTCTTCCTGACTTCAGGTGGGCTCTCTATCCACTGTGCCACCCAGCTCCCCACATAGATTTACCCAATATGTTTCTTCCCCTTCCCCCTTCCATAGAACTATCCCATGTAACAAATAAAGTTTTTAAGAAGCAGAAAAGAAAAAAATTTCAGCAAAACTGGTTAATACAAAAACCAAACCCTGATGTTATATACCCATAGACTCCCATTCCCACCCTCATCTCTGCATAGGAGCAGAGGGAGTGTCTGTCTTTTCATATCTCTTCTTTGGTATTAAGCTTGTTCTTTACAATTTTGCAACATTCATTTTCCAGTGTTTTGTGACATCGTTGCACTTGCCCTCCTAGAGAGTAAGTACTTTTGGGAATAGGGAGATGTGTGCTCTTGCCTTTTGAATGTCTTATCCTGAGTTTATTTTGAAACAATGACAGATTTCTCCTCTGCAGCTACAGAAAAAGCCAAAGCCTTACCAAAGAATTCACCAAATCGGAAGATACAAGTACTAGAGGCCTTCTTGGCAAAATCCAGACCAGAGCTTTTGCAGTGTAAGTGCCATTATCAGTGGGGGAAATACCTGGGATTGTAGGATTTACAGCTGGGAAGGCCCTTAGAGGTCATCTCATCCACCCCTTTACTTCCCTTACCCTCTACTCCCATTTTACAGATGGGAAAAATGAGGCTCAGAGAGGGATCATAGCATTACAGATTTAGAGTTAGAAGAGACTTCAGAGTTCATCAAGTCCAAACCCCTTTATTTTACAACTTGGAAAAAAAAAAGATTTCTAGAGAAGGGAAAGGACTTGCCCAAGATCACATGGCAAGTAATGGAACCCAGGATTTGATCCCAAGTCATCCTCAAGCTCCAAATTCAGGGCTCTTTCCACTGTACTATATTGCCTGTCACATGTGCTAGATCTCACTTAGTTCTGAATGTCTTTTCAATGAAAAGTTATTGGACTTCTATCACACTATAAGGATTTAATCTTACTAACAAAGAAGCATTTATTTATTAATGATGGCTAAAGGAAAAGATGGCTGATATTGGTCCCAATATATGCTGTCCCCAAACATAGGCTGTATCCCCTAAACGACATCTATAGTAAGGAAAAGCACGTAAAAAAAAGCTCCATAAAATTATCATATCATATTTTTTAAAAAACCAAGAGGCTTTTTGGTTTATTATATTTTGTTATATTTTAATCATTACTTCTGTCCTCATTGTAGTGATACAGTAAAGAGAACACTAGCTCTGAGTGTGACCTTGGGCAAGTCACTTTAACTGCCCAAGACCTCAGTTTTTTCATCTGTAAAATAAGGACAAGATGGCCTCCAAAGTCTCTTCAACTCAAGTATAGGATTCTATGATCTTCATCACTTTCATTGTTATCTTCTTAGATTTAGAGCTGGAAGGGGCCTTGAGAGGTCAACTAATCCAACCCCTTCATTTTGTAGATGAGGAACTAAGGCTCAGAGACGGGCAGTGACTTTCATGCAAGTAGTAGGAGATTGAGTCAGGATTTGAACTCAAATCCCCCAACTCCAAACCCAGTGTTCTTTCCACTCGATGAAACGGATTCTTACCTCAGTTGATGCTTATCTCAGCATAATTCCAGGCCCAATTGAGTTGTACAAGTTAGATGTAGGAGCAAAATCTAGACTCTGTTTAGACTAACAGAATATTACTTTCATTGTGCCAATGAGAAAATGAAGGCCCAAAGTAGGTTAAGTAGCTTACCCAGGATTAGCCAGTCAGCCATCAAACACTAATTAATTAATTAATTAATTAGTTTGTTTATGTTTTCACTAAATATTTATTAAGTGAATACTATGTTGACAACATTTGCTAAGCATTAGGGATACAAAAAAAGACAAAAGACAGTCCCTGCCCTTAAAGAGCTCACAATCACCATATAGTATAGTGGTGGTTAGGATTTGAATCTAAAATGAATAATAATAATAACAACAACACATATAGTACTTTAAGATGTACACAGACTTCATCTAATTATCTCATTTGATTCTCATAATAACCCTATAATGTAGGTACTATTATTATACACACATTGATATCTATATATCTATATATATATACACACACACATATAATTATGCTGTAATATATGTAAAATATATATATGTATATATATATATGCAAACAATCCAGCTCTAGAAGTGTTAGCTACCATTACTGTCCCTAGTTTACACATGAGGAAACCAAAGTTAGGAATTTAAGTGACTTTTCCAGGTCACACAATTCTTAAATGTCTTAGACTGGATTTGAGCTTGAGGCTTCCTGATACCAACTCTGGTGCTCTGTTCACTCCATTTTCTAGATTCATGGCATGGTACTAAGTCCTTCCTCTTTAGGGGCTAATAATCTAATATTTATTTGGTGGTGTGTTAAAATGGAAAGAGCACTGAAAAATCCTGTGACCTGGGCTTGAATCTTGGCTCTGTTGTTTACCAACTGTGTGATCTTGGGAACGTAACTTCCCCTATCTGGGCCTCAGTTTCCTATTCAAGAATTAATAACAATAATAATAGCTAACATTTATAGAGCTCTTACTATGTGCGAGGCACTGTGCTAAACATTTTACAATCATTATCTCATTTGATCTTAACTAATTTTACAGAAGAGGAAACTGAGGCAAACAGAGTGATTTCCCCTGGGCCACATGGCTAGGAAGTGTCTGAGGCCAAATCTGAATTTGAATTCCAAATCTTCCTGACTCTTGGCCCAGTGTTCCATAATAAAATGAGTGGATTGGCCTAGATTACCTTTCAACTCCGATAGAAAGCATGGAGAAGTAAAAAATAAAAATGAAAAAAAAAACCTGTCAGTTAATTTTAGATCAAATTGCTAGATTAGTATATTGAAGACAAAAAAAGGTATATGGGCTGGAGTATGGAGATGGGAAAGCAAAACTCTCCTGATCTCAATCTGGAAAAATCTCATCAAAAAGAGGGGATTTCAAGAGTTATTTGAATGATGGAGGAAGAGTGATTGAGCAGGGAGGGGTTGGAAAAGAGAGTTGAGGATCATGCTTCACCATGTCAAAGAGGCTTCTGTCTACTCTTTTTAGTTTGCTCTTTGCACTCTTCCTACCCAAGAGTTTTGTCTCTGTAGATGCTACTCAAGTGATTCTGGACTGCAACACCGCCAACTACAAAGTGGCTTTGTCAGATAACAACACTGTAGCGTCCGTGGCCAGTGTCCCTCAGCCCTACCCGCCCCACCCTCAGAGATTCACCTACTGCTCTCAGGTGCTTGGCCTGCAGGGTTACAAGTCAGGAGTCCATTACTGGGAGGTGGAGCTGCAGAAGAACACCTTTTGTGGCATTGGCATCTGCTATGGGAGCATGGATCGTCAGGGTTCTGACAGCCGACTGGGCCGCAACAGCTCCTCTTGGTGCGTGGAGTGGTTCAACACCAAGATCTCCACTTGGCACAACGATGTGGAGAAAAACCTGCCCCTCACCAAGGCCACCAGGATTGGCGTGCTCCTGAATTATGATGACGGCTTTGTCATTTTCTTCGCCATCACAGACAAAGTTAACCTTATCTATAAGTACAAGGCACAGTTTTTGGAAGCACTGTACCCCGCCTTCTGGGTATTCTCCAGTGGTACCACTCTATCTATCTGCCCACTGAAATAGGAAATAGTTTTACTTAAAGGGTGGGACCTAGTGTTCACAGTCCATCCAACTCAGGTTACATCCTGTCTTGAGTTCAAATAACTATCCTCTGAGCTAAGGCTGTCTGGTTATAGGAGAAGCAACCTGCTCCCATACCATGATGGCATTCTTCTTTGAATCATTTTGCAGGTATTTCTGTGTGAGGTTGGGAAGTGGATTTGGGAAGGGGAAAAACATTCATGTTGATAGTGGGGGAGGATGGCACTTAGGGTTCAGTTAAGCTGAATTTTAAGGCCTAAAATCACATTGTGTTTAGGTAAGGTGACCTCTCAAAGTTGTACCGGCCAGTGCTGGTAATACCAGGCCATTGGGCAGTTCACAAAGACTTAGATCAATGCTAACCCAACCTCTGGAAAAGTATAAGTAGTACAGGTTGTCCTACTGGGCTGCACCCTGAGGGTTGGGTTTAGCTTATGTGGTATAACCCTGCCATCCTTCCTTTCTCCTTCCAACCCTAACTCTCATGATCATCTTCATCTCTTTGATTTTTTTGAAAAAGCGATGTAGAAAGAGAAGCATTTGAGATTGGGACCTTGATGCCAATCTCTTTCCCCATCCCCTCCAACCCCAGTAATTTTAATTCATAAGCCAAAAAATTTCAAGAGCTTTGCTGACTAGTCACGTACTGCTGTTGTAGTAAATTATAGTAACTTGGTATTGCATAGGGAAGAGGAGGCTATCTATTTTCACGTCCTAAGAGAAGAAATTCTTCAATAATTCTTTACCGAGGATCAAAATTTTTAAAAAGAAATCATTCTTTTTTTTTTTTTTAGTCTTTGTAGAGGGAAAAAAAATATCCCTGTAGGTAATTTCTAAAACTTTTCCTTTCCAAGGACATATCAGGGTCTTAGATATGGCTCCAAAAGGGATTATAATGATCATTTAGCCTAGCCCCTTCATTTTCTAGATAAACTGGGATGCAGTTAATCTATTACCTGCTCAAGGTCACACAGGCCATGAACTGAGCAAGAACTGGAACCCTGATTCTATTTCTCTAAACCCTGTACTCTAATGCCAGAGCAGGCAGAATTAGATCCTTTGTCACTGTATGTGACCTCCTAAGATGAGAATATTATTTTTCTTTCTGACTGCCCAGAGCATCCCTTATCCAATCCAAGGCTCAGAGTCAGGTCCCAAATGAGCTAATGGGCTGTGGAGGGGATGGTCTCTGACTTTGAATAAGCCAGTCCCCAGCTTCTGAGTTCTCAGTCAAGCCTCATCATTTGGGGAAGCTTTGACTACCACTCCCTCGCCTAAAAGGCTCACGGTTGCTACAGCGGACCGAGACCTTTCCTGTCATGGCACATGTTTACAGGAGGAGAAATAGCACTGGTGTTGATCCAGGCTCTTGGAAGCTCATTAATCTTCCCTCCTCCCCTCTAACCTGAGTTTGTTTAACATGATAACCATGGCTTTGCCGATGTTCTTCATCTCTTTTGTTTGTGAATAACTCTTTTTTTGTCTCTATTATCTCAGTGGACTAATGAGTTATTGGCAATATGTAGACGCAATTGGTCTTGGAAAAAAACCAGGTATGTACAATGTCTGAATCTTCCATGTGATTGTGTCTCTAAGAGAGTGCATCCTAGTGATGTTGGGATGCTAGACAAGAACATGTACTTAAAACTTCAAACTAGACGCGCCCCCCCAAAAAAAGAAAATAGGTAGGCATTCATTTGAATTGAGGCCATAGGTATCATAAATTTAGAGCTCAAAGGCATTGTAAATGTTGGGAAGTCCAACTTCCTCATTTTACAGCTGAGGAAACAGGCATATAGAATTTAAGTGACTTGCGTAGAATCACACAGCTACTTAGTGTCAGAGGTAGGATTTGAACTCAGATTTTTCCTGAATTTCAAGTCTAGTGCTCTAACAATTATACCACATCGATCTCCAGATTTTTCTTTTTCATTCCTTCCTCTTTGAACTTTGTTTGTCTACATTATCTAGTATAGCATTCCCCTCCTCTCCACACTGCCCCCCCCCAACTAATTTGACTGCAGAATGCTTTGGGATTTGAAATGCTAGCCTGGAGGTAATTAGAGGTTTGGGAGGATCCCAAGGGAAAACCATGGAACAGAAATAAAGGAAATTGTCAATTTTCATACTGGAAAATTATTGTCTATAATATGTATTTCTGATACATAGATGTTTTCACACTTGATGTATTTTTTTTAAGAGGGGAAAATATTATCAGTGAAAGCATCTCACAGAAACCTCTATCCATGTCCTGTGTAATAGTTCAGGACATGCTGGTCTAATCACTTGCATAGAACCTGTCACAATATAAAGGTGTGGGCCCTTCTTCTCAATGACCTGAAGTAATGACCTGGGTTTTGTGGAATAGTTAGGCCTCAGGATCCTAAGGGAAACTGTTTTTACTCTTCTTTGGACACTGGAAGGAAAATTCTGGAGTCACCTTCTCCACTTTTAAAGTCCTTCTTAGGTCCTCTGGGAGAGAAGGCTTGCCGTGAGCCTCCTTTTAGAAATCCCTGATTCCTAAGGAGAGAGAACCTGTCCTCTTCTCTTACCCCAGATAGAGTGGCAAAGAGTTGTGTCTTCTTGGCAAGACCCACTACTATTTCTCTACATAGAGTTGCTCTGTTTGTGAGAAAATAATAAAGCAGAGTTACTCTGTTTGGAAGAGATAAATTGATACAAATGGTTGAAACTTCTGTACGTATTTATAAATGCGACATCTTGAGAAGAGCTCCGGGACGTACAAAGTTTTACTTAGTTCCTTTTCTCTGAAAGCTTTAGTTGGGGAAAAGAAGGCCTCTAGGTCCCTTTCCTTATGTTATAGGGATAAATAACAAATATGTGTAGAATAGGAAAAAATACGTCGGCGGAGACTAGCCTTGGTGATGCTAGGGACAAATGAGAAGGAGGTGACCACTAGGCTCTCACCTCCTTAAGCAAGAAGGTAATGCAAGATCAGGTTTCTCCCTAATATTTGTTGACCCAAAGTGTAAATGATAGATGAAACTCCAACATGTTTTTGGTTTCTTCTTTAAATATCACACCAAGCGTGCTCTGGTGTTTCGGATCTGAATGTTAGGAACTTTCCCAACTGGAAGCTTTGAGCTATTGTGATTGTATTCCTAGCTTTTCCTTCAACATAAATGCCACAGAGCAGCAGGGGCCAGGACCATGGGGTCCTGAGGGACCATCATTTTGTTCCTATGATTAAAAAACAAGCTAATTGTCATAAGAAGGTGTGGCTGATTAAGGAGGAAAGGGCTGCTTGAGGCCAGCCAATTACACCCTCCATATTACCGCCCCATGATTACTAGTGTTACAAATAGGAGCAAAATATTGTATACATTCTCATAGAGCCACTCTCTTGGTTGTTTTTGCTTAATTGGTTTTCCTAATAAGGAAATGGATAGCAATCCATTACTTAGCATGATGTAGCAAAAGTTACAAGCTAATAGCATCATAAACCTAGAGCTAGAAGGTCCTCAGAAGCCATCTCATTTAAACTTCTCATTTTAGAGATGAGGAAACTGAGGACAGGCAAGTGAAACAATTTGCTCAAGATCACAGAGGTAAAAAGTGTCAGAGGTGGGTTTGAACCTAAGCTCTGAACACAGAACCAGTGCTCTTGTCATTGTCCCGTGCTGCCCCCTGGCTTGTTTTTGCCTTTGAATTCTCAGTGCTTCATACGTAGTAAATGCTTAATAGATACTTGTGAAATTGAATCTGTTTTTTTTTTATCATTGATTACTTTGAGATGGATTTCTAGCCTATAATGAATTCTTATTCTGCAAATTTTCCTCTATTGATCTCCATTGATAATTGTAGAAGCTGTAGAAATTGATTTTTCATGTCCCATGGGAAATGTCTATACTGTGATTATCTGACATAACCACGGCCTAAATTGTTGCTTCCTTTGAACCTGAGTCCAATAAAATTGCATCAAAATAGAATTCAATAAAGTTGTATCATATCAGAAATGGACTATGGCTGTTTTTTTTTTTTTTTTTTTTTACTATTGGTGTATGTTGGAAGGGTGGGGCTCTGAAACATTATGGACAAACAACATGAACCATTAGGGAGAAACAGATGTCCTCCAAAGTTATTCCAAATGTCATTTCTTGTAAATATGAAACAATATAAGCCTTTTAGAAATGGAGGGGAAAGAGGGATATGGTGACGCATGTCTGTAACTGGCAGGGAGGCTAATGGGTCTCTTGAGCTTGGTTATTCTGAACTGCAGTAGGACTAAAGGTGATTGGCTGTTCACAGATCAGAAATAGTGCAGAAAGAAGGGAGAGACATAAGGGGAAAGGAAGATGAGAAGAAGGAGATGAGGGAGGGGGAAGGATAGCAGTGGGAGAAAAGTTACTAAATTATTCATACCCTTTGACCCAGTGATCCCACTCCCACTTGTATACAGTAGGAGGTCTAGGACAGAAAGTTCTCACATATACCAAAATCTTCATGACACTTTTTTGAAGAAAGAACTGGCAACAAAATGGCTGCTCATCATCTGGAGAATGGCTGAACAAAATGGCATGCGAATGGAATATTATGGACCATATGAAGTAAGTACTATTAGAAATGATGAATGATAGTTTAGAGAAATATCAGAAGCCTCTGAATTGATGCATGAGTGAAATAAATAGAACCAAAAGAATGAGGTATACAATGACCACAACTATAAATGAACACTAAAAGGAAGTCAAATGCTGAGTAACCGAGTCTTGATTTTAGAGAACAGATGAAATAGCTCCTTTGGCAGAGAGGTGGGAGAGTATTGGGGCAAAATGTTGTATACATGGTCATACAAAGTCACTTGTTTTTGCTTAACCTTTTCCTTGTAAGGGATATTTTGGGGAGAGGGGGAAGGGATATATAGAAATAACTGATTTTAAAACAAAGAGCATTAGTAAAATATTTAACATGGGTAGCTAGGCGGCACAGTGGATGGAGTACCAGTCCTGGAATCAGGAAGACTTGAGTTCAAATTCGGCCTCAGACACTTACTAGCTGTGTGACCCTGGGAAAGTCACTTAACCCTAATTGCCAAAAAAAAAAAGAGAAGGAAATGGCAAACCACTCTAGTATCTTTGCCAAGAAAACCCCAAATAGTATCATGAAGAGCCAAACATGACTGAAATGACTGAACAATGACAAAATATTTAAAAGAATTAGAAGGAAAGAGAGAAAAAAAAGACCCTTGTATCCCCTTTCTTTCTCTTATGTTCACCTCTTGCCCTGCGTACTCAGTTCACTGGTTGTAGCAGAGCAAATAATCTCTCACTGATAAGCTTGTTCTTGGGCAGCCATTGAAGTATCCCTGATTTAAAGACCATCCTTTAGACTTTTATTGGTAGTCACTCTCTCCCATTAAAGGGTTCAAGACAGTGGTTTCTGAAACTTGTTCAGTGAGGCAGAATTGGTAACTTGTGAGGAGTTGTAAAGGAACTAGTTTAAGAAGTCCATTATTTGTGGTCTAAGGACCTGCCTTGTTCACTTCTACTGACAACAATTGAGGCCCCACATCTTTCCACTCTCATTTCCCAGGCAGCAATCTCATGATGCAGTTACATCATAATGTTGGAATTGAGCCCTTTATTGGACTTTGCGTGATAAATGAATCTATATGATTTTGAGGCATAACAATTTCATTTATATAATAGCTAGGCAATTATGTTCATGAATCCAAGGAGCAGTAAGAGGAGCAGAAGACATTAAAATGAAAAAGGCTATTGAAAAGGAATGGGTTGGGGAGCAGGTCATTAAGGGGAAAATCAATCAATAAATATTTATGAAACTTTGACCCTGTGCCAGACACTATGAAAAGTGCTAGTGATACAGATACAACAGTGGAAGTTCTTGTCCTCAAACAACTTAAATTCTACCATGACTTTGGCTGATTCCATCAAATAACCTTTGTTGTACATTATGATTTATGATATGATTCCAGGTTTTTTGTTAATCATTTTCAGGGATTCCAATGATCATTAAGTTACCTTCCTTAACCTGTTTTCCAGATCAATTATTTTTGGTATGAGATCTTTTATATTTTCTTTAATTTTTTCAATCTTTTGATTTTATTTGAATATTTCTTGCTGTCTCATAGAGTCATTGATTTCTATTTGGGCTGGGTTTTTTTTTTTTAAATAAAGCTTTATTGCTATTTTTTGTTTGATTATATCACCAAAATATTTCCCAATATACTTATTCCTTCCTTTCCCAGGGAGCCATTCCATATAGCAAATAGTTTCTTTTAAAGAAAAGGAGAAAAAGAAATCATCAAAACTAATTAATACATTGAACAAGTCTAAAAAATACATGTGCAATGTACCATACCCATAGAACTTCTGCTTCTACAAAAGCATGGAGCGGGGGTGTTTTCTGAAATCTCTTCTTGGGCGCTATGCTTGTTCTTTGTAATTTGGCATCATTCCCTTTTGATTATTTTGATTGTTCTTTGTGTTTACATTGTTATAGTTGTGAAAAGGGGCAGCTAGGTGGTGCAGTGGATAGAGCACCAGCCCTAAAATCAGGAGGACCTGAGTTCAAATACGACCTCAGACACTTACTGGCTGTGTGACCCTGGGCATGTCACTTAAGCCTGTTGCCTCGGTTTTCACTGAGTTTCTGCACAAATGAGCTGGAGAAGGAAATGGCAAACCACTCTAGTATCT